ATATGTGTTAGGAAATTGTGCAACAATCCGTGCAGTTGCGCAAGCTTCAAGTTTCGGAAAACCAAATCGTATGGCAAGACGTAGAAATTGAAGCGTATTAGCTTCGCATGGTGGTCGTGCTGTATTGCATAGCTAAAATTAATTAAATAAATTTTGATAAATTTTTATTTTGCAAGTAAGCTATTAATTATGATTGAGCGAACATCAAGGATAGATAAACGATATTTGTTTCAATTGGATGCTTAATTAGAGATCTAATGAGTGAAAAAATAATGTATTATATTGTCGCTGTTATAAAATATTAATGAAGGTCAGTAGGTGAATAGTAATTATGCTATCTGTTAAATCAATTTTTTGATTTACAATTAAGCAATAGTTTGTTAACAAATAAGAAGAAAAAAAGCGGCTATTTCAAGTTTACATTATTTAATGAAATATTTGAAAATGAAATAAAAATAATGTATTAATAAAGTAAGAATAGCTTGAATGACCAATGTTTGTGTAAATTTTATTGTTTATGCAAGATAAAAAAAAAAAATATTATCAATCAACTTGAAAGTGCTATCAATCATTTTAATAACCTTCTGAAAGATCCGACAAAAATCATCGTCGTACATTTGCAATAATTCCTGATACATTAATGGTTTTAAAAAATTTAAGCAAGCGAGAAATTGTTGATAATTAGCAAAATCAAAGGAATTAAAATTACCACCATAGTATTTCATCTGACATATACCAGTAAATGCAAATGATAATACCTGTAAGTTAAAATATTTAAATGAAAATAACAATTTTCATTTGTATCAGTTTATAAATATTCTGATTCAAACAAAAATTTAATAAAAACTGAATCAAATTTAAAATTACAAACTGATTCAAATTTAAAATTTAATTAGGGAAAGGGTCAAAATTAACAATTTATGATTTTTTTTTTTAATTTTCAATGCAACGTTTCTACGAAAATCATTTAAAATCATTGATTAAAATTAAACTAATTGATCATCTTTTAAAGGTTTGCATTGCCATTTTTCATTTTTTATTCAATAAAACTTTAGTATGAACAACAAAAAAAATTTTTTTTTTTTTTTTTGAAATAATGAATTCATAAGATTTCTGACATACCTTCTCAACTGTAACTGCTTTAAATTCTAAATGGATTGAATTTTCTTGTGGATTACTATCCATATATTCATGAAGATATCTACAGGCTACGTACAAACAATGCCGATCATATGATATTACTCCATCCATGCACTTAATGAAATACATTCTAAAAATTAATTATTTTCATGCTTATTATATTTGAATTTTTTTTTTCATTTTCAAAAAATTCCATTTTAATTTTTTTCTGAATTGAAAAAATTATAAATTTTTTTCTTTGTCACATAAAATAATTTGTGCAAATAATTTACATGTAAAAATACGTAATTTTTTAAAAAAAAAAAACAGTATTGGGTACAAAAAATTTTCAAAATTTCATCATTTTTTATATATTTTAGAATGTATTATTTGCATATAAAATTTAGCGATATTAAATTCTTAGTATTGTTTTTACTTAATTACTCAATTACTAGTAATAGTGTATGGACTCTTTTTCAATCTATTATAATAAAATAAGGATAATAAAAAATATTTGCTCGGGAACATTATTCATTAAAATTGGGCAAAAAAAAATTTTAAATAATTAATAGCATATATTATCATTGTTAATTTATGAAGGTTGATTGACAAACTCTTCCATAATCAAATAAATTCGTTTAAAAATTTGAAACCCGTATATTTAATTCAAATAAATTTTTAGTATGATTTTAGAAGCTAAAAATGAATTACAATAAAGATTAAAATAAGACAAACGTTTTATGAATTTTCTTAACAAATACCAATGCTTTGAATCGTTCATCAGTTGCACTATTCGGTTCCAAATGAAGTAACGGATTTAAATCAATTTCCGATACCATGTAATTGAAATTATCTAATGCAAATGCTAATTTTATTTCAATTTTTAATTGTCCCGGATTAAATTCATCACTTTGATATAATTTCGTTAATATTTCTGTATAATGTGGAACAAATTCAACACGGTGTTTTAATTCTTGCCAATGTGCTGGGAAGCATTCAACTGCAAAACTTTCTCTTTTCCTTGTTTTTTTTTTCAGTTGAATTTTCAAATAAATAAATGAAACATTTTTAGCCTAAATTGAAATACGAAAGGAATAAAGCGGCAGGAGAAAAAAATAAAAGATGTAAAGCAAAAGAAAAAAACGATTCAAAATGGGAAAACAAAAATAATTTTGTGAAATGTTTTCATGATTCGTTTGAAATTAAATAATAGCAGAAAAATTTATATCCGAAATTTACATCTTACACATTTAGCATAAAAAATAAAATTTAGTAACAAAAAAAAAAGTTACTGATTGATTTTTTTTTCTCATATTTTCAACATTTTTATGGTTTATTATGAAAATATATGCTAATGTTAAACACTTTTTCAATTTCTTTCTTTAAATTTTTAAATTTATTCTTAATTCTTCTTTTGTTCACTTACTATTGCCTTTAGATTATTACACAAATATATCTTCTGTTCATTTCTCTTAATAAATAAAAATTAACAATTCACTTTAACAAAAAAAAACCGTACTTCAAGTTTTTTTTAAATTTTGCAAAAATAAATTGTAAAGTCAACTTCTCTTGCTATTCTTTGATTGTGCTCGAAATTGTACGCGAAATTCGCCTTTAATATTAGCATCCGTTTGCCTCACCAATTCAATCATAAATTCATTTTCCTTTTTTTTTACATGCAATATCCTGTAGTGAAAAATCTTTTCACTGATTTAATTTATGGCAATTTTTGCAATGAAATGAAAAAAGCGGAAAAACAAATGCTTTTCTTTTGTAAGTGAAAAAAGAAACATATGTTTTTGATTTGTAAAAATTATCAAAATATATGCGCATATTAAATAAATAATAAATCAGTTTTCAAAAAATAAAAATAAAAAAATAGCAATAAGTCATTAAATATATTAAAACGATAGTTTAAAAAGATAGTAAATAATCAAAATATTAAATCATATTTGAAAAAATTACAAGCTGTTAAAATATTATGTTAACATTCAAAAAAAAAAGCAAAATATGCAAAAATCGTAGCTGGAATTTACAAAAGAAATAAAGGAAAACCTTTTCTTAAAAAAAAAAAAATGATTTTATTTCTTCTGGAATTTTTAAACTGTATAAAACTTTTCAAATTCCTTAAAACATATCTTTATAAACAGCTAATATAATAAAAATTTTAAAGCTGAAAATAATTAATAAAAAATATTTCTATGTTATGAGAAAAGATTCGGAAAGCTTTCGTTTTTTTTTTATGCTTTATGAAAAAGAAAGTTGTTTGAATTATTATTTCCATTTCATTTGATTCGACCAACTTCTTTCTCATTTTATTTTTTCTTTCACACATACAATTCTATACCATAATATATGGCTCAAAATTTTTTTTTTTGATAAAAAATTCCATCTCAAACTTTTCTCATATTTAATTCAAAAATAATATTTAATGCATAATGATATGTAAATAAATTTTTCATCAAAAATTACAATTCAAACAGACAAATGCATTGTTACATTAGTAA